AGTCTTTCTCTAACAGCTTTTATTTTATTTTTGGTACCAGGGATCAAACTCAGGACCTTGAGCTTTTGAGGAAGGCACAGTGCCACTGAGCTAAATCCCTGGCCCTCTAACAGGGGTTTTTGTTTGTTTGTTTTCTAGTACCGGGGATTGAACTTGGAACCTTGCACTTGCGAGGCAGGTGGGGTCACCACTGAGCTAAATCCCTGGCCCTAACAGGTTTTAATATTCTGTTCTCATGTTGAATTTCTGGAATCTTGATTATTATATGCCATGGTGTAGAATTTTTTTTGTTTTTGTTTTTGTATTGGGGATCAAACTTGGGTCTTTGTGCTTGCAAGGCAGGCAATGGAACCACTGAGCTAGATCCCTGGCCCTATTTTTTAAAAAAATCATGGTTATATTCTTCACTTATCTGTATCTAATTCTTTCTTCCTGCTTGGGAAGTTTTCTGCCATTACTTCTGTGAACCGGATTTTTATGTTGTTTGTGCTATCTCCTGCTTTTTCATTGACTTTAATCTTATGTTATTCTTCTTTGCATCATCTAGCAGCTGTTGGATTGATTTTTCATGGTCCCTTAATAATTTTAAGAAATCTTTCTTTCCATGATCATTACCCACAATCCTGTCTTCTATATCTGATATTCTGTCCTCACATTGGCTCATTCTGCTGCATAGACTTTCAATGTAATTTTTAATATCCTGGATATCTGTTTGAATCTGTTTCATGGATTCCATTTCTTTCATTTGTTGGTTGTTCATGATTTCCATTATTTTCCTGAGCTCCTCTGTATTTTTATCTGTATCTGCTCTAGAGTCATAAGCATGTCTTTCATTCTAGTCATCATCTCTGTAGTTATGATAAATTATTTCTGATTTGATTTTTTTCTAAAGCCTCATTAATCTGCTTTGTTACTTCCACTGTTACCCTTTCAAAGAGTCTAAGTGAGTACCTTTCAAACTGTTCCACTCCATTACTCCCGGAGTTTATTTACCTTTGGTAAGCTGGAAGTCTGGGGTTGCATCTTGCTTAAGTGTCTTCGTATTTTCTTTTAGTTTAATTCCTGGATTGATGCTTGTAAATTGCTTATGGCAAGTAGCTTTATTGCTAGTATTTAGAACCCTTAGGAAATGACTGCTTCTCAGAGATGTCTCCCAGGCATAGCTGGATTTTAGGTTTTGAGTCTGTTGGTTTTTGATCCTATTATAAGCAGTAGTTTTATTCATTTTAATTTCTGATGTTCAGTTAGCAAATAGAAATACAATTAATTTCTGAACCCTTAATTATATCCTCTGATCTTACTAAATTTGCTTAGCTCTAGGTGCTTTCTTCTAGGCTTCACTGGATTTCCACATAGATGATTTCGTTGTCTGTGACTGGAGACTATTTCATTCTTTTAGTCAGGCTGCATTTTTTCCTTATCTGGCTTTTAACCCCTAGTACAATGTTGAAAAGAAATGAGGGCAAGTATCCTTATCTTGTTCCTGAACTTGGGGAAACTAGATTTTCACCACTGAATATGGTGTTAGATATAGGGCTACTGGTTTTATTTTTGAGATAGGGTCTTACTAAGTTGCCCAAGCTGGACATGACCTTGAAATCCTCCTGCTTCAATTTGCCTAGCTGAGAATACAGGCATGTGCTGCTTTGCTCAGCTGCATGGCTTGTTTCCAAATTCTCTTGATCCATTTCCTTTTGGACTCCACAAATATTGTTTCCTTTTAGGTGCTGGCATGGAACCTAGGGCCTTGCACAAGCTAGGAAGTGATCTAGTGGCTCTTCAATGAAAAGTTTGAAGGTATCACTTGGAGCTTCTGGAGCCCAAGGCTTCCCTGCTTGCTGAGGAGCAGGCTGCTCTTCTCTTACTGGGTACCCACTGCATGTGGGTTGATGAGTTGTTTCTCTTTTCTGTCTTTAGGATTCTTTCTCCTGGCATGTTGAATTAATGCATTTCTATGTGGGTCTCTTTGAATTTATCTGACTTGGTATTTGTTAAGTCCATTGGATGTGTGTTGGATTGTCAGCTAATTTGGGCAGTTTTCAACCATTATTTTTTCATCTATTTGGTCTCCCCATCTCTCTCTTTTCTCTTGGGCTGCCCAGCACGTTTACCAAGCATTGTGTGATGGTGTCCCAGGGGCCTTCTCTCCAGTCTTCTTTTCTGCTCCTCACACTGTAAAATCCTAGCCAAATTATCTGTAAGGCTGCTGGCTCTTCTGCTTATTCAGATTTTCTGTTAAGTTCCCTTGTGAATTTTCCATTTGAGTTATTATAGTTTTCAACTTCAAAATTGCTATTTCTTCTTTTTTTTTTTTTTTGGTACTGGGGATCAAACTCGGGTCCTTGTGCTTGCAAAGCAGGCACTGGAACCACTGAGCTAAATCCCTAGCACCCCCGTTTTGTATATTTTCTATATCCTTATTGGTATTCTTGGTGAGACATCATACTTTCATTTGGTGGTGTTGTTTTTGCAGACAGGATATCACTATGTAGCCCAGGCTCTTCTTGAATTTGTGTTGATCTTCCTATCTCAGCATCCCAAAAGTTGGGATTACAGGTGTGTGCCACTATATCTGGCTCCTTTGTCTTTAGACATTTATTTTTAGCTGTTTGATCATAATTCATATGAGCAAGTTAAAGTTTTGTCTAGTTAAGTCCAATGTCTTAGCTTCCTCAGAGACGACAATTTTTTTCTTGATTTCCCTTCTTGTGGGTAGGCCATAGTTTGTTTCTGGCATGTATTATGAAGCCTACACAAAGTATGATTGCATTGTTAACTAAGAGGGACCACATTATTATTATTATTTTTTTGGTACCAGGAATCAAATTCAGGATCTTGTGCTTGCTAGCAGGTGCAGGTGCCACTGAGCCAAATCCTGGCCCTGTTTCTGGCATGTATTAGAATGTGAGTAACAGGAATGAGACAAGTTAAAATGCCACAAAGCTCATTGTGGCTCTTTTTTTGTTTGTTTGCTTTTAGAGGGGAGCTTGCTATATTGCCCAAGCTGGCCTCTAACTCTGGCACTCCAGTGATCTCCTGCCTCAGCCTCTGAGTAGCTGAGACTTTAGGTGTGGGTCACCTTGCCATTTGTCTGTTCCATTTTGTCTTCCTCTAAGGAGTGACAAATCCACACCCAGCATGTGGGAGGCCAAGGTGGGAGCATTACTTGGACTCAGGAATTCGAGACCAGGCTGGGAAATATAGGAAGACCCGTATCTCAAAAATGAAAGCAAAATCAAAAGAAAACAAAAAACAACAACAACAAAGAGTGACTCCTTGATCTTGAAAGTGTTATTTTTAAATGTGTTTATACTGTAATTACAGCGGACCCTCAAGTTATGACTGGCCCTACATAGGAACAACTTGGGTTATGACTGAATTTTAGTTCTAACTTATGATAAAAATCTTGAGTTATCATCTGAATGACAGTCTTTCCTGTGTGGGGTTAAATGAGAAATTTTGGGTCAGTGTCTCTCTAAGGACACTGAGATCTGCCTGGAAGAAAGTGTGGCCTAAAATTATACAGTAGACTTTGAAGGCTGTGTAGAGGAGCCTGAGGCTTCAATTGACCCTGTGGTTTACGACACTGTCACTATAGCAGAGTCCGAGTCCACAGGCTGGAGATAGACAGTGGTGATGCTGAGGAACCAGGGGAGGAGCACTCAGAGGAACTGTCCACAGAGGAGCTTCAGAAACGTCTGGATGAGCAACAGGGAATGGCAGCTGAGGGGCTTTCTGAAGAGGAGGGGGCGTGTCAACAATCAGAGCGGCAAAGTTCTTCTGAAATAAAGGAAATCCTGAAAAAATGGACAGAGCTACAAACATCTGCAGAGAAGACCTACCCGGAGAAAAAGCCAGTCACTGCATTCACTTGCTTAATGACAATGTCATGTCATACTACAAAACAGTGTTAAAGACAGAAACAGACACGGGAGAAGTGGGTAAAGGGAGGGCAGGGGTATGGGGAAAAATGAGAATCAAGACCTGTCATGTAAAGGTACAAGATCCCAATAATGAATGTAACTGTATTGTATACCTAAAATGTACCAATAAACTCAATGAGAGAGAGAGAAAAAAAGACAGAAACAGACAACCTTAGATCAGATTTAGTTCTAAAAAGGTTGAGACCTAGTGAGCCAGAAGCAGCAGGCTAGACTCTCCCCAGGAGAAAAAGGACACCAGAGAGCCAGATTCCCAATGTTCTTATGGAACAGGACCCTCCTTCCAAACAAAAACCACCTTCCATTTCATCCTTCATTCCTCAAGCCAAAGATGTCAACTTGAATGGTGAGTATAAAATTGTTATTTATGGTAAATTAGGCATAATTATAAATGTTTTGGTGAATACACTACGAAAATTATTGGTGTTTCTGGTAAGCTATGTACATTATACAAACCTTGTTTTTAGACTATTTTTATTTTATTTATTTGTGGTACTGGGGATCGAACTCAGGCCCTTGTGCTTTCAAGGCAGGCTGTGGAACCACTGAGACAAATCCCCAGCTTACAAACCATTTTTATTTAGATGCTTTTTTTTTTTTTTTTGGTACCAGGGGTCGAACTCACAACATTGTGCTTGTGAGGCAGGTGTGTTGCCACAAGCTAAATCCCTGGCCCCTCCTTTTTTATTTTTATTTACTTTTTGGTACTGGGGATTGAACTCGGGACCTTGAGCTTATGAGGCAGGCGGCAGAACAACTAAGCTAAATCCCAGCCCTCCTTTTTCATTTTTGAAAAGGTTAGTTAAAGGGTCTTTGGGAGGTTTGGAAAGCATTATGGATTTTCCCATTATCTCTTATGGGGAAAAATAGTCTTGACTTACAACCAACTTGAGTTACAACCAGCCCTTGAGAACGAACTGAGTTCATAAGTCAAGGGCCCACTGCACATCAGCAAATTAGATATCACTTCAGGGCCAGCACTAAATAATACTCTTCCTTAGTTTTACTGAGCACAAGGAAAGATAAAAAATTGCTATATGACAAGTTTTTATTTGTATCAAATTAAAGAGCATCATAAGTAAGCAGGTTATGATTTGAATATTGTAATACAATTTAACATTTGGCAAATTATTCAGTTATCCAAAGTTTATTACATGATCCAGTGCACACTGAACAGATTATTTGGAATCATTAGCAAGATGTATATTTCTGTACCTTATTGACTATTATGATTATATGTGGTACAGTTATCTATGTGTGTGTATATACGCACTTCTAAATTTATATATAAAAAGCTAAAGATAGACGTGTTACAATTTTTTAAAAAAATCTATTATATTAAATTGCATCTGCATCAAGGCAGAAATGTAAAAAAAAACCACTCCATTTACTAAATACACATGAATTTACAGAGTAATTGAAGATGAAGTAAGAATTTCTGTTCTTGTTTAACTGATGTTTAAGAGGCACTGACAAACTATGAAATAAACTCTTCAGGCTGCTGAGACTACAGATGCGAGGAGCACTATGGGACGGGGTGGGGGAGCAGGAGGGCAGCAGGCCGTTCTCTCGGGGAGAGGGCTGGGGCGCTGGGCAGGAGCTCCCGGCTCCTCTCCCTCAGTGGAAGTCCGGCTTCTCCGGAAAGGTGCAGCCGCTCCGCCGGATGATGACGCTTGCTGCATAGTGGCCGGCGCGGATGCACTCGGTCAGAGGCTTGTCAAAGACCAACTGAGACAGGAACCCTGGAACACAGAAAGACGGATGCGAGGACGTGAGAGCGTGGAAAGGCCACCTGCGCGTCAGCACCGAGTCCTTTCTTCAGCCTCCGCAGCCAGGGTCAGGTGTGGCCTGCAGGGGTCTGGAGTCTCCTCAGACATCACTATCTTCTGACATCTCTCAGAGCCTAATCGGCATGACAATTTGCCATCTAGTCTCTCGGGTCTTTCTATGCCTCCCCTAGCATGCTTTCCTTTCACTTTGGAATTAAAGTGTTGTGCAGGGCGTGGTGGCACAAGCCTGTAATCCCAGCATTTGGGAGGCTGAGGCAGGAGGATCACCATGAATTCAAGGCCAGCCTGGGCTACATAGTGAGTTCAAGGCCAGCCTGAGCTATATAGTGAGATCCTATCAACAACAACAACAACCCCCTCAAAAAGAAAGGGTGTTGAGGGCGAAATGCTGGCCAAATAATATCACCTAGCCTCTTTGTTGCAGAGAAGTCAGTGCTACTGCTCCCGTTTCCTTGGGATTCTTTCTGTATTACTGTCATTCCTAGTGTATTGCTGTTTGGGCAAAATCATACCATCCAGGAGATGAAAAGTTTGGAAGGACCTTCCATCTCCCTTTTATTCCCAGAAGTCGCAAGGAAATGATTTCCACAGTCAAGCACCATGGACCAGCTTGACATTTCAATGAATTAGGGTGAAATAGAAAATAGTGTTGAGGACTTCTGCTTTTGACCAAAAGAGAATAGAAGGAACCAGAGTTACTCTTCCTTCAGAAACATCGAAAGACAAAATATACGGAACAGAGCTTTTTCAAATATTGTATATCAGCCAGGAAGGATTCATGAAAGAAGGGAATAAATGAAGTGAAACATCTGATTGCTCTGTTTCCCTGCGGTGAGTCACTGACTGGGTCAGAGCACAAGGACAGAGCCTGGGCCCAGGGGCGTCGGACCTTTCAGAGCTTCCAGGGCTACAGCAGCTGGCTGCGCATGCGCACCACAGGCTGGCTGCCATTGGGGCCCAGAAGGCTCTGGGGGCTGAGAACACGAACTGGGTACAGGCAGGTAAAACGGCCAATCTCTGGGCAGCCTGAAGAGAGGGGGAGCAGAGGGGGAGGGGACAGAGCTGAGATCCCAGTGAGGGAACAGCGGAGTGAGTGGGCAGCGGCCCAGAGTCCACACACACGGAGAGGGAACTGCGAGCCCAGGCCGCAGAGCTGAGTCAGGCGAGTGGGGCAGATTCCTCGAGACACAGACTGAGTGCTCATTGTGATAGCATGAACAGCCCTGCAGCTACTCGACATGCTGATTTTGTAGTTTAAAGCTTCCTATAAAGCTCCACGTCCAGATGGTGTTGCTGGTGAATGCTACCAAATATTTAAAAAAACAATACCAATCCTGTACAAACTCCTCAGAAACCTTCTCATCTCATTCTGCTTTGTTTGTGAGGCAGGGTCTCACTATGCAGTTCGGGGTGGTCTTGAACTCACTATATAGTCCAGGCTGGCCTCCAACTCACTGTGATTCTCCTGCCTCAGCTCCCCGAGGGCTGGGATCACCCATGTGCCACCACGCCTGGCTCACCTCCTTCTCTGGGGCAAGCACTAGTCAGATAATCAAACCAGAAGAGAAGACTACACACCAATATTCCTTATGAGCGTAGCTACAAAGATTCTCATAACAACTTTAGGAAATCACATCCAACAATACACTTAATATTAAAAAACAATCTAATTTATCAAATAAAGAAAAATTATGAAATCATCTTAACAGACGGAGAAAAAGCAGCTGATAGAACTCCAGCTGGGCATGGTGGCACACAAGTCTAATCCCAGCACTTGGGAGGCTGAGGCAGGGGGACTGCCATAAATTTGAGGTCAGCCTGCACTACCTAGTGAGTTCAAGGTCAGCCTGAACTACTAGCAAGACCCTGTGTCAAAACAAAACAAAGCACCCCCCCAAAAAAAAAACCAGCCAGGCGTGGTGGTGCACACCTGTAATCCCAGCACTTGGAAGGCTGAGGTAGCACTGCCATGAGTTTGAGGCCAGCCTGTCCTACACAGTGAGATCCTGCCTCTAAAAAAGAAAAAAAGTAAAGAAAACCCCCCCTAAAACCAAAACCAAATATTCATGGTACTTTTTTGATCCCTCCTGTACGATTCATTTTGAATGAATTTTTGTAAAAGGTATAAAGGTAAAGGTTGAAGTGGATTTTTTTTTCAGATGTGGCATCCAGTTGCCTTAATACAGTTTGTTTAAGAATTAACCTTTCTCCAATGAATTGTGTTGCACTTTGGTAAAAAATCAATTGGTCTTGGGCCGGGGATTTAGCTCAGTGGCACTGCCCCTGCCTCACAAACGCAAGTTCCTGAGTTCGATCTCTGGTACAAAAAAAAAAAAAACAAAGGCCTCACAG